AAGAAAATATTAAGCAACTAGGGAAGTATAGCAAGGAAGCATTAGAAGACTTCATTAAAGAGTGCCATTTAAAATGGTGTAAGACATACTATGAAACTAATGTTAAATCTGATGTAGTTGACAATAATTTGTGTAAAAGTTATAATGATTTTATTTTAGAAACTAGACACAAAAGTATTGTCACATTGCTGAAAAATATTAGGCATCTTGTAGTAAAAAGAATTGGTGCTAGGAGAATATTTGTAGTTAGGTTTAAAGGGAACTTTGGGCTTAAGATTTAGGAAAAGATAGAAAAATATAACGAACTTAGTACAAGGTTTAAGGTGTTGCATAATGATGATGATTAATATGAGACCATTAACATTTACAATTACAATGATAAATATATAGTGTACATGGAGAAAAAATTATGCACGCGTAGGTTGTTTGAGATGATTGGTTTGCCATGTCCACATGCTATAATTGTTTATATTGCTAGAAAGTGGCAGTTATATAAATATGTTTTCCTTTGGTATAACAAAGATATGTGTGTTAATGCATACAAAAATATTCAATAGAACCTACAAATGGTGAGAAGTATTAGCCTAGGACGAGAGAAACTAGAGGTCTTGACCCTTAATATTGTCAAACTACTTGAAAGAAAAGAAGAATAAAATTTTGGAATCATAGGAGTCATCAAATGGAATTAACATGTCTAGAACAGGAAGGAAGATGACTTGTAAAATCTGCTTCAAGAAATGTCATAATAGATTGGCATATCCCGATAATCCTAAGAATAAAAAAGTAATTTTTTTTTTTAATTTTGTCCATCTATTATGTTTTTAAGTTTTGTTCATCTCATGATGTGTTAGATTTGATTCAATTTTATTTATAGGATGTTTCTAGTATTGGATTTGCACCTCATAGACCAACTAATGTTGTGGTTGAGCATGACCTCGTTGAAACTGCTCGGACTTTCGTTTTATTGTAGTTGAACTAATTTCAGCTTGTCATATGCACATTTTTTGTTGTTTAATTTTTTTGGGTATATTATTATTATTATTATTATTATTTGTTAGTGTTCATGTATAATCTTCTATGGAATCATTTGTGTGTTCGGAGGTAAGCTAAATAAAAAGTTGGAGCCGTATCTTCTCGTAAGACAAAAAGAAATGGTGTTGCTAATCCAAGAATGAGGAGTAATATAAGCAAAGAGAATGTTGTTGCTACTATAATAAAGAAACATGATGCTCGTTATTATGAAAATGTGTGATGGTGGTCCAAGTTTGAGAAGTCATAAGTACAAGAAGAAGGGTGAGCCCGATGTTGTGAAAAGTAATATGAAAAATGATACTATTGTTAGTAGAGGTCAAGAAAAGGGTGTTGATGTGGTCCAAGTTCGAGGAGTAATAAGGATAAGGAGAAGACTAATACTCGCTGTAATAAAGAAAAATGATATTGTTGCAACAAATAGGCAAGGAAAAAAAGGCCTAACTGGAGTTGGATGTTTTGTTGTTGAGTTCAGCTTTTCCAAATATGACACTAGTGTTTCAAAGATAGTTATCGGTGTTCCAAAAAAGAAGAAACTAAACCGTGATGCTTCGGATGTCAAGAGGTTAACAAGATCATGTATTGCAAAATAAAGTGATGATGTTGCCGGTTATAAAAAAATGATGTTTCGTTTTGAATTTTGATTCAAGTATTGTAATACGGATTATAGATTTATTTATAGGAATATATAACTTGGGGATTTTGAATAGTAAGTTTGTTATAGATGTGGATGTTGACTTACTATAATGATGTATTGTAAAATTTGTTAAGTCAACTACTCAACCGAAATAATATTTTGAGCTCCTTAGCAAAGATATAGTCAAATATTTATAATCGAAAGCAAAAACTAAGGTTTTTAAGAAATGACAATTCTAATTATCACTTGCTCTATCAAAGAAATTGCATAAAGGTTCATGATAATTCTAGGTCATTATAATAGACATATCTCTCGACCAATAAACACAACTTTTTTAGAATAAGTTAGTTTATAAGTATAGACAATCACAACTTTTTTAGAATAAGTTAGTTTATAAGTATAGACCATTAGAAGCGTACAAGAGTCACGGAATAAAATTTACATACAGCCAACATTGCACATAACTTAGATTGAACAAAATACTTAATTACATGATGTTGTATGTAAGAAAATATTTTCCAATCCAGAAATTATAGAATGATGTGTTTTCAAAAAGATTGTCTAACCCCTTTCAAACCCACATAAAAAAAAAAAATGACAAACATCATATGAAAACATTTTTTTAAAAAAAAACACATATTCTATGCCTAAATAAAACTAAGTCGGCACAAATCAACTTCAAATCTTCAATCTCTAGTTGTACAATCTCTTTTTCCTTTTTTTTTTTTTTTAATTATAAGCATTGTTTTCAACTCTTACAGGTCTCACGTTCAATCAACAATTCTTTATTCTCATTTTTCATGTTGGAATTCTCACTTTTTAACTCGAAATCACCTTATTCGATCTCAAATTCGCTTAAAGCAACTCCGTAATTCACTCGCATGTATTTTTTTTTTTTTGTTGCCAATTTAGCAAGTCCAAAATAATCTCTTTTACTTTGCTATCTAAATTATCCTTAAACCACACTTTAAAGTTGCAAAGTTGTAGCTAACATGTTGTCTTTCTTTTGCATTGAATTGAAGTAGGAAAACATTAAATCTAATACCTTGAGTGTTCATCACTCCAAGATAATACCTTAATTGTTTTCATCCCACAAAAACACATAATTGATGGTTCTTCACAATTCTACTCTAATTCTTGATCACTAAGTACATATATAGACAATTTTGATACATCTAAACGTTTGGACGAGGAAGAGGATATGGCAAAGTGATCATGTCTTTCTAGATTGCAATAGGAGGATGAAAAAACATGAACAAGGTTGAAATTAGAGATTTTGCATTTTTGAATTATTGGATTGTGGGAGTTAGATTTGAGAATAAGCATGATTTGGATTTGGATTAATAGGATTTAAGTGGTTTTGAGATTTTAGGATTTAAGGATTTAAGTGGTTTTGATAGAATAAAGAGTGAAAGAATACGAGACTCGATTAATGATTCCGGAATGAGAGTGCAAGAATGATAGGAGATGAAGGTATAAAAGGAGTGAGGGCAATTTCATCTTTTTATTTTTATTTTTATGTACTATATATTAGTTTATTAATATAAATCTTTTTTTTATTACGGTTTTTTTTCGGACCGATTTTGTTCATAAATGGGACCATAATGCCACGTGCCTTAGCTTGATTGGTTACCATCATTTTTAACATGCCATATAGGATGCACATTTAGTAGAGAGTCTAATTTAACAAATTTGTAAGAATAGAAAGTTTCAATTAAGTTAAAAAATTATAAAAGGTTTCAATAAAAAAAAATTCGATATGTACGGGATCCGAATGTGGGGTAAACCCTTTTTTAAAAATATCCCTATCTTTTTTTAAAAAAAAATTGAAACTCAAATTTGACAAGATGGAAGTGGATTTTAAGAAAGTAAAGATAGAAAAGGTCGATGTGTCATAACAATTAACATCTTCTTTAAACTTTGTAAAGTCAAATGAGACTAACGAGTTTTGGATAGAGCGACTATTTTTAGGTACATGTTGTCTTTTTTTCATAATCTCTTATTGTTAAAGCATTGAGCGTTAATTGACATATAGTTTAATAGCAAAATTTACCCTTAAACTATTGGAATTGTGGCAAACTAAGGTCTATATTATCAATTTGAACAATTTGAACCCTAAACTATTATTTTTTGGACAAATTTTATCATTCTTCATTATTTATGACAATCAAAACGTTGACCATTTTATTTTTTAATTTGAAATTAAAATTAATTTCAATTTTTTAATTATTTTTTACTAGATGGATCCGTTATACATCTTTAATCCAACAACAAAGGTCCAATCCATGAACAACAAAATTATCAAAAAAAAAAAAAATTATTATATATATATATATATATAAAAAGAATGGAACGATGAATACTTCTACTATTAAAAATGATAGAGAAAGATAAAATTTGCTAAAAAAATTAACAATTTTTTTTGTTCAAATAGTCCAAATTGATAATATATATCTTATTTTGTTATGACTCAAATAGTTTGAGAGTAAATTTTATCATTAAACTTTATTTTAGTTTTGACCATTAGATATAAAGAAAAAATAATAACATTTATTCGTAAAGTAATAATTTAAGATCCAAATAATTCAAATTGATAGTATAAGTTTTAAATTGTCACCACCCAATAATTTGAAATTAAACCATTTCTTAACTAATGGAACGTGATTCTATCATTTTTAAAGGATATCAAATTCATAGCAAACCAAACATGACATTTTTTTTAAGACACCTAAGGTGCATTGGTGGGGAAAATCTCCAATTATTCCATACCAAATGCCTCCATAATGTAAACAATAGTAGTTTTTAGAGATGCACACTTTGGTTAAATAATGTTTTAAAAAGTAGCCGATAATACCACACTTCTCAAACGAGATTACAGTTCTTATACTTATGTTAGGATTGTATTATGGATTTTAAATAAGAATAAAACATATATATTTATTGATTTTTATACAATTTTTTAAAAGTTAATTATTATTTTATTTTTCTAACACAATCTTTTTATATATATATATATATATATATATATATATTGAAACTTCCCTTTTAATTATTATAAATTTTTATTTAAAAACATATGCTTAAAAAGTGAATTATTTTTTCTAAAATATTTATAGAAAAGAAATAAAAAATAATTAACTAAAAGAAAAAAGAGGCGATTTAATTTTTACCATTATACATAAACATAAACTAACACGCAAGTGAAACGACATCGTTCTATAACATAAATATAAAGTAAAATAACATCCAGATTCCTCCAGTAAATTCGCGTCGGCTCAAGTAAACTCCACAGAAAGGAAGGAAGATTCAGCATTGCTTGAAGGAGGCATTAACGATGGCGACGGAACCAAAAGCAGCAACCGAGGAAGTCAAGATCGATCTCTTCGAAGATGACGATGAATTTGAAGAGTTCGAGATCAATCAAGGTGTTAATTAATTAATAATCCAATCCATCTTTACAATTCCCTATTCAATTCCATTCAAGAACATGATTGTTACCGGTATCTATTAAGCTTGATTGTTTTAGCTGTGTGCTTTTTAGATTGTTAAAATTATTAGACTTTGATTTCATTAAGAGATAATAATAAATTTTTTTCCTCCCTAAATTCGCTTGCAATCGTATGCTTCATTATTTGAATCGGAAACTATTTTCAATGCTTTCTTAGGATAATTAATTTATGAAATTTAATTGCTGACAGTATTTTGATATATAAATAATTGTGCACTATTTAATTGTTTGAATAATGGTTACGATGACAGTGCGGGAGCACAAGGAGGAAGGAAAAGAGGCGACGCAGCAGTGGGAAGATGATTGGGATGATGATGATGTCAATGATGACTTCTCGCTGCAGCTAAAGAAGGAATTAGAGCAAAACTGAATTGGTTTCTAACTTCTCACTGTCTCAATTTCAGTTACCTGTTTGATGTGATGATGGTTTTTCCTTTCGTTTAGCATCGAAAAAGAGCATGTGAACTAAGAAATTCAATATAAGTCTTAATCTCTGCTACTTAGATAGATTCAATATTTCTTTGAAGTGGAATGAAACTTTGGTTTCATTTTATTTTGCACTTGCATGCCAATTAACATACAATTATTGATCGACTCTTTAGGGTGCATCTGAAGAGAAGTGTGTTAATAGTATTCTCTTAGTTTCGATGTGATGTCAGTGGGCATCGGGAATCTTTCACTTAGATTAGGGTGAGGATTATAGTGAAAGTGCTGGCAATTATGAAGTCAAGGTGTTTACCAGTAACACTGTCAATGATTCCTTCCTGTGCATGGTTGGATCTGTTTAGCATGGATAACTTGGATTCTTTAGTTTCGGTTGCTTGTTAGTATTGTTTCTGATATGAGTTGTTCATAGTTTCTGGTTACTCTATTAGCACTCAAGAAGAGGATAGCTGAATGATTGTGAAGCGTGTTAGTGTGTAGGTAATACAAGTGGGAAAGTGTTCGCTTCATCTAATTATTATCGATCAAAATTGATGTGTCCATAAATGGAGAGCTTAAGGCTTAAGTTTGGGCTGATTTGAATCCATGTTTGGAATCTTTAATCATATATTGACAATACTGTAATACATTTAGGTGATGAAAATTTAATGCCTCTTTTCTAATCTAATTGTTTTTATTTTTATTTTTTCTATTCGAGTTCGTATCTTTTCTTCAATCGAATCTTTCTTTTCTTCAATAAAGTGCTCTATTTTTCTTTTTTTTTCAATTGTCTCTTTTTTAAAAATGCTGATAAATGACACGTGTTATTCTTATTGTCGGACCAATCATTTGTAGAAGTGGAAAATTTGTGAAAAATCAAAATTTAAAAATATAAGCCAAAAAAGAAAAAAGAAAAAAAACAACAAAAAGTTTTTTGTTATTGTTATTTTTGTGTTAGCGGTTTTTATTAATAAATTTTAAAATTTTAAAATCAAAATAATAAAAAAAAGAAGAGTAATATCTTTTAGGAAGGGTATTTTTCTATTTTATTGTTATATTTTAGTTCTCGTGTTATAGGCTTTTTTATACCCGCATAAGGACAGAATTTCCCTCATAAGCGGGTGATTTATATCTTCATTATTTGATCTTCCTTTCTTTTTTGTTTTATTAATAATTTTTAAAATTCTAAAACCAAAAAAGAGTAATATCTTTTGGAAAGGGTATCTTTCTTTCTTCCTTTTTTATTTTATTTTATTTTATTTTAATGTTATATTTTAGTTCTCATGTTGTAGGCTTTTTAACAACCCGCAAAAGAGGTGATTTATATCTTCATTATTTGATATTCCTTTCTTTTTTTCGTTAAATAACTATTCTTTATTGTTCTTTTTTTCCCTATGAATGGTGAACTCCACTGTAAGAATAATACGTGTTTATTTATCGAATATGTCACCAATAATTTAATAATGAAGATACTTAGTTGAAAAAACAAAAGTAAATGAAAGAAGAAAAAAGAAAGAAAAAATATAAAATATAAAAGGGAAGAAAAAAAGAGAAAAAATATAGGATAGTAGAAAGAAAAGAAAATAAAAGCTAAGAAGAAAAGAAATTAAAAAAAAAAGATAGAAAATGAAATAACTAAGAAGATAGAAAAAGAAATGGAAATAAAAGAAGAGACAAAGAAATAAGGAGAATAAAAATAGGATTAATTAAGGGGAATTTAATTTAAAAAATTTTTAAGAGTATTGTGGGTCAATTTAAAGAAATTATGAATAATTAAGGACCCAATTGGTGGAATTGAGGGAAAAAGAACTAAAGTGTCACAAATTAAGAGATTTGATTGAAACAAAATTGAAATATACAAGGATCAACTTAAAAAAAAGTGATGGAATTGAAGGGTTGATTTGGAGGTGTAGACCGAATGATGCGTTATGCGGCTTTTTTTCTTTGTTTTCAAATAGGGGCGATACCTTGGTAATTTTTTAATATAATAAAAACAATACAAAAGGGGATAATCCGACCTTACCTAACAAGATAGGGGGACGAAGAAACCTTACCCTAATGACGGAAGGATACCCTATAATTAAATAAACCAAAACTATCCTGTCTATTAACAATTTTTATCGTTAAAGGTAAGCCGACTAAAACTATTATAACTTATCTTCAACTCATGTTGAATCGCCTCGTTAGCCAACCTATCCACCACTATGTTCTATTCTCTCCGGATATGTTTGAATGTGTGGGAAATTCTTAATTCTCGGCATTCACGAAAAGTATACGTGTAGGACCAAGGCACCTTATTTGTGCCTAAGAGAGTACAAATAGTCAACATTGAATCGGATTCTATTAGCATTGAGCCTAATTTCAAATCCTTACACAAAGCTCAACCATATCCTAGTGCAAACACCTTAGACTTAGAATTAGTACCATTTCCATAATAGTGTGTGAAAGTCTGCTACAAAAAAGCTTAAAGAATCACAGATTACTCCTCCACTCGCATAAAAACCATCTATGGCCGACCCATCAACATTTAATTTTAGTTTATCGAGTTGGAGGAGGTTCCCACTTGTTCCATTTTCCTCTCAAAACTTTCGGCTACATTGGAACAATGCCTAAGTCTTACATCTTCCTTAATCCACCTACGTTCATAAACTTTTTTGGCATAAATAAACCGCACATATCCCGAAGGTCTACTATAACTTTCCTCACTATATTCTCTACGCTTATTGTTTCATCCTCATATTTTGATTTATATCGACTTTTGCATAATTCCCATAGCATAAAACAAAAGGCATCGACTTAGCACATACCGACTAGGTGCGAGGAGGACCTCTAAGCTCGCGCACATTTAGCTAATGAGTTCCAAGCCATGCTACATCCAAAGATTCCTCCAAAATGTCTCCAAACTTGTCTAGCCACCCGAGAATCAATAAACAAATGTGTAATGGTTTTCGCCTTATGATTCATGAAGCATCTGAAACATTGATACTATAGGAATATTGAGATCCCGAATGCGAGAATCAACCACTAAGGCACCACTAAAACCATTTCTACATAAAAACCACCACCCTTATTGGTATGTAAGGGTTCCAAATTCTATTAGCCCATGACCACTTTGGTGAATGACTTCGAATATAGTTTCGATAAGCTTTAGTCTTGAATTCCCGTGATTTAGTCAAAGTACAAATTAGTATATTCTCAATTGTATCATCAAACTTCAAAATGTTTCACATCATCATGGTATTGATCGGGAAAAACTTAAAGAACGTCACCCAACTTCGAAAAGCTTCTCTAACCGTTAACCTTACATCCATGGGTAACGGAGACTCTAGTACTGATCCTACACTAGTTAACACCCCAAAATGGAACTCGCGCACTTTCCTATGATCTACCGATTGATCGAACTCAAGGAAGATAATTACGATGCAATGGTTTTCCAAATATGGGAAGACGTCCTTAAAAGCTTCCCTTTGTCCCTATATCTCGCGCTCGAAAATCGAGCCCACGGGCTTGATCCCTAAATAAAAGACCAATCTAATTTTGCTTATAACGCATACATTACTTGGCCCGAACTTCGAACCCCCAAACCATCTCCCTCGATGGATGTACATACCTGCTGCCAAAAGATCCAATGATAATGGTTTTCACTAGATAAACTCCATAAAAAGTTAGCCATTTGCCTATCAATTCTCCGAGTTGTACCCCTAGGCACGGGAGTAGCTGTTAACACATGTATTGGGATACTACTAATAATTGCTTGAAGTAAAGTCAATCGAGCACCAAAGGATAACAAGTTTGCCTTCCATCCACACATATGTTGCTTAATCTTCATCTCCAAAAGGAGAAAATACACTCGACGCATTCTTCCCGTGAAAAGGACTCCCAAATACTGTAACGTAAGCCGAAAATGGTCGCATCCCGTATGTTGCTTTATGGCTACTATTTTTTGTGCTTGACATGTTCTTAGAATTATAGAAGCCACTCTTAGCCATATTAATTAATTTCCACTAAGCTCTCCTCATACTTGGACATCAATCCCCTCAATTGCATCAAAGAATGCTTATGGCCGTAAACAATAGCATGTCATCTACATAAAACAAGTGAGAGACCTACGAGTGCTCCTCTAGGCAAGCTATATTGTCGAATAAGTACCTACCCTAAATATTTTTTCAGATTGATTGAAAAGACTTGTTGAATCAAGATAAATATCAAAGGTGATAATAGATCTCCTTGCCAAGTACCCTTGAAAGATTTAAAAACCCCAAAGTTCGATCCCGAATTTGGATTGTGTATCAAACATTACTAAGACGTCTATAAACCAAGTCGAACCAATTTTCATTTAACCCCATCAAACGTATTACCCTTAGAAGGAAAGACCAATCTACCCTATCGTAAGCTTTAGACATGTCTATCTTAAAAATAAGATTATCCCCATGAACTTGTCGATTTAACCCCACTACCATCTCTTGGGCTAGTGCCACGTTTTCCATGATGCTCCATCATTTAACAAAATCTGTGTATTACGGATCTATTCACTTCGGTAATACCACACTCAACCTATTTGCTAAGATTTTTAAAGTGATTTTATAATTGAAATTAGATAGACTAATGGGTCTCAAATCACTTAGAGAACACGGATTTTCCATCTCTAGAAGCAGGATCAAAATGCAAGAAGATATACCTCTTGGGAGTTGGCCCCCTCCGAAAAAATCCCGTACTACTACAATGACATAAATCGAATTAAACTCCAACACCCTTTATAGAAATGCCTTGTAAACCTATCCCAACCAGGTGCACTAGATGCATTCAGCCCCTCAATGGCACTTACTATTTCAATTTCTATCGAAACCCCTATCAACTACATATTAATGTCCCACACATCCCTATAAATAACAATTCATAATATGACGTTGTGCTAGTAAAAAAAAAGGATTGAAAATAATTAATAGCTTCTCCCCTATCTCTAACACATCTTTAACAAAAGTCCCATCCTATTTTTGTAACTCTGAAATTAATTTTCCTTACATTATATTTAATACACACGTGAAAGAACTTTGTGTTTCTATCCTCCTTTGCGACCCATTTAATTCTTACCTTTTGTCTCAACATTTCCTCATCCCATTGGATTAAACGAGCCAACTCAACTTTTCTATCCTAGAGCATGTCGATCGATTGTGTATTCCATCCCTATGCCAAGTTCATGTCTATCCGGTAAATTTCATCTTGTAGTAGTTCCCTTTTTTGATGAATATTACCAAAGACCTCTCAATTCCACACTCGTAACTTGCTCCTTAGATGTTTCGACTTCGATGCGGAATTTCCATAGGGGAACCCTTTACTACATTATTCCATGTCTCCCACATAAATTCCTAAAAATTGTGATGCTCTATCCACATTTATTGAAACCGAAACAACCCCTCTCTACCACGTTGTTGAGGAATCCAAACCACCAATGGGCTATGATCCAACACTATTATTGTCAAATGTTTAATAAGAAAATTTGGTCTATTAGCAATATAGGAACCATTGGCCATAATCCTATCTAGCCTCTCCCAAATTCTAGCTAAACCCGATTGGTTATTGCACTAAGTAAACTTGCTACCTTGATAGCCCAAATCAACCATACCTATGTTATCACATCATGTATTAAACTTTATCATACCTTGGTTGTCCGCCCTTTTACCATCAATTGTCTTATCAATATTTAAAATCACATTAAAATCCCCCTATAATCCATGATTCCCGAGAAATTGATGCCAACCTATCTAATTCATTTCGGAACTCCTATCGTTCCCTCCTATTGCAACTATCATAAATTACCAAAACCCTTAGCTTATTCATTTGATAACCCAAGATATTTATTGTAACTACTTGTTTGTGTATTGCCTCATAAATTATCGATATATCCTCATCCCAAAACAACCATATATGAGAATTGATTGTATTGAACTACTCAAAACACTTATATCTAATAGACTTAACAATATTTTTTATTTTGTCCCCGCCTAACTTAGGATCAATAATAGCTAAAAATTTTGGTCTATGTTATTTCTTCAATAGTTTAACATAATTAATCGTATCGGTGTTTTTGATACCTTTAACATTTAAAAAAATACCGACCTATTATTTCGATGTAGATGTATAACCTAATGCTCTAAAAGCCGACCTTGTCTTTCTACGACATTTCAAGAGTTAAAGTTTTTTGTTTCGGCTAATTTCGAAACTTCTTAAATGTTTTTTTATATCCTTCGACTTTGTCTCATGAACATCAAGACTCCCTAAAGAAAGACAACAAAAATTATGTATCCGTCGTTCACTCTCCTCTTCTAATATAGATCCTTTCTAACATATTGATTTATAGGCCTCTAGACCACTCGATTCTATATAAACTAATATTGCTTTATTGTTCCCCTCCCGATTGCAAGCGTTTTCAACCCTTTCATATTCTACCCTATACCCTTTATCACCTTATGAGACCACTAACCAATCCCAATTCATCCTCCTTATCCACTCGCTCGAAAAGCCACAACTTGTATATTCTAATCCCTTATGCTTACATCCAATTACACATGATCCACCATGACATCCGTGCCATGCACACATCATTTGTTGTCCAAAGGGGTTCCTTCACCATCGTTGTCCGGCTTAAATGTTGCCCACTCGTCCATGTCACTCGAACATACTTAGCACCCTTCATTAAACCGAGATTATTTTATGATATTCACACTTTTTGGTCGAGATAGTACCATCAATCTCTTCATTGCTATCTAAACCCACTATCTAGCTACATGACTCAATTGAGATGTGTCCCTTAAATTCATGCTCAACCACCTTATCCCTTCTCACCTCATTATCAACCTTTTTCCTCCATATTTTCATAGTTATGCCATGCTTAATAGCATCTTTATTGCTATTCACTTTTTTAGAAACAAATGGAGTCTCCCAAATCCCAAAATCAATTAGAATATCATTACCAACTCCGGACTTCACTATTATGTTTTCTCGCCATTGTGCTCCCTATAAATTCTAGCTCTAAGTGTTTTGTTTCTCCTACCATCTCCAAGTGCTGCAAATTTATTAGTAAGATACCATGCTAGGCACATTCGAAGGTATAACCTTACCCTTAGCGATAGCTTCCGTATCCTTGTCTCCCTCGTCATCATCTATAGTCATCACTCCCGTCTTCATCTCTCGTCGTAACATACCCTCACAAACTTTTTTTTTTTTACATGCTAGGTTCCCCTCTCTCTATTATTGCTAGGCCCTTTGAGCATGCTATCTATGACAAATACATTAGTAAGTTTTCTACCCTCACCTAAAGCCATTAGTCATTCTCCTTCTAAAACCCGTGAGTATTCTTTCCCATGACAACTCGCTTATCATTATTCATCATCCCCCTCTATAAATATAGCAAACCCTCTACTTTTCTTATGGCATACCTCTTCAGTATGACCTATAAGACCATATACACTATAATATATTAAATTACCCTCATACTCTATCCTCAACTAGAAACCTTGCTCCTTAGAGCTACCCACCCATATTCCGTTAGGCAAAGACCGTGAAACATCTACTTCCAAGCAAATCCTAGCATACATGAGATGTGTTAAAGCCATGGTCCTTTCATCAACCATCAAAAAAACCCCAATGCCTTCACCTATTCATTTCGGATATGCAAGATTGAAATACAACAAAGGGAGCTGCAAGCAATCTCACCCAAACCGAGATCATAGGGTTGTCTATTCAAAATTAGAAATTAGCATTCCACCGAAATAATCTATACATGTAATTCATAATCTTGTGACCATCTCTAGATAATGCATGGTGCAAATCTTCCTCTAAATCCATTTTTACCATGACATGTCTCGGGCCCAAAAGACGAATCATAAGTTCACCATTGAGCTTCCATAAGCGCTGGATATGGAGAAGAATATCTCTAATTACTAGCCTCCTTGTTGAGAATTTTAGGATTATGTTATGCTTAAATTATGCAGCACCCGTTTCCAACTCCATTCGGGAGAATAAACATGTTGATTTTGAATTAATATAACTTGGTTTCCTTGGAACAAGTTGAATATCTTTTAGGAGATAAGACTTACGAACAATCGGTATAACTTTTTGATCCTTGACATTAGCAGTAACCTTAGCATATGATAAGTCTCTAGTTTTGTTTACTTGTTTTGACTCCTGCAAGATCAAAGTCCGGTTTATAGAGGTCGCTCGGCTTACTCCCACTTGTCCCTACAATTTGATCGAGTCCGACTATCATCGAATGTGCATCCGCACTAATGCACTCCGTCGAACAACCTCGGTTTGTGTGATCGATATTTGTGTTCGTCCTCTTGGTAAAACGGACTAGGAAGCAATGGTGGCTAGGGAACCATGGCCAATTGTTGATCGTCTTCTTCCTTTTTATCCTAAAGTATATGTTTTGTTCCTAAATTTTTGAAGCGAGGGTTCCCTCTTATTTGGCTTTTCCTTCTCTCTCCTTGCTCATGTGTAAAGGTTGTCTTTTCAATCGAAAAACTAACTTTTGCTAGTCCAAAAAAAAAAGAATAAAATAAATAAATAAATAATCACACCATCAAACCCTCTTCTATTCCCCTCTTTTCATCAATATTAAATGGCTTTCATTCTATTTTATTTCGCCTACGATTTTGGTCGCCAAAGTGGATGTCTCGAGCAGGCTTCTCTTGCAATAGCCCACTTTGGCAACCATAAATGGATAGAAGAATAGGATTTTTAAAAATTTCAAAGGAAAGGCCATGATCTAGGGATGCAAGATGAAGGGCTAGGATGAAAAGAGGTCTTTATAAGGAGAAATAGGAGAAAATGAAGCAAGAAAAAGAGACATTGATAAGGAGAGATAGAGCTCAACGAGTAGAGCGAGAAGTTTTGAAGAGAAATAGAGAAGGAAAAAACTTAAGACAAAGAAAAATAAAGCTAGGCGATGTTGGATCGAGAGGTATTAAGTCATGTGAAAACTTAAACACACAAGTAACATACGAGCAACCCTAGGTTGAAACACCCAAGTCGTAAACTAGCCTTAAACTTATTGTAAACGGACCTCAAATATCACATAATCATAGATTAAATCAAAATCAACAAACACCTTAACACAAACACAAACGGAATCTAACAATCTCCAAACAAGCACACACATTATCCACAACAAGAGCATATATGCTTCTACTATCTAAATCAACTCAAAATAGCATGAAAATTTACCATAGCCTATAATATATCTAGAAGCATATGTTTGAAAAATTTTAGATTAAATTAAGCCACGCAACCCCTTATTTAACTAAGTTGAAATTTTGGACATAATAGGTTCCAAAATTTACATCGACTTCCACAAAAAAAAAAAAAAAAACTCTCAAATAGTTTTAAAATTTTATGATTTTTTAAAAGAAACTAAATAAAATCCTTAAATAACTAATTTTAAAATTTTAGATCAAAATAAAATTCCTAGCCTTGGTTATCGGCTTTAGGATCAAATCTGTTCGACCTTGGAACTCTAATCCGCTCACAATTAATTAAGCAAACATAAAGATAAAAGCAAGTCTCAATGTATCACATTTGAAAAGAAAACTCTACTCAAGTTTATTTAGAGAGTACTTACAAGATAAGTTCATCAAGGGTCTAGTTAATTCAATGGTTGATCAAAACCCGCCTTAGTTGATCACTCAAAGGATGTGTTCACGACGTCCTAGCTAGTCTAAGCAAATGAGATATGCAAGAAATTATAAAGAAAAACTCTCAATTTTTATTCAAATATTCATTAAAGTCTAACTGAAAAAATTGCATAAAATATGCTTGAATACTCACAAAAAAGACCCTAAAGTCGGCTAAGGTAGAACTTCCTTTTCTTGGCTTATTCTACCTCTTTTCCTAGCTAGGATTTTTTTTTTCCTAATTTGACTTGTACTTATGCCATCTATCTTCGATTAGGAATTTTGATGAGTGCATAATTAACATGATTTTTATGCTTTTTTTACATTGAACTTTCTAGTGTTTATTGTATTATATTTAAGAAATTAAGATAAAAACATCAAATTGAAGTAAGAAACCAAACCAAAAGTAAGGGAAACCAAAAGCCACCAAAGAGGCTTAGAAGAGTCGTATGTTTGTGTGTGATACAAGAAGAAATAGCTACTAGCCGTGTGAAACAAAGAAGAAAACCATTTGAATGTCCAACATGATTAACTTTGACCTTTCGAACTTCTTATAGGTTTATCGAAGATTTGGAAGAAGTGGTCTTCAAAGAATTTATAGAGAACATCTCAATATTTCCATAATGATATATGGGCCAAAATCCAAGTTCATTTAGGCTTTCAAATGATATTTTATATTTTGGTCTAGAAAACTGATCCGAATCTCATTCGGAGTCTAGATTAGTTCGGAAGTTTAATTCATATCTAGAGTTTCATAACTCCAATTGATGCAAGGCCAAGCCCATGGAATACCTAAGAGGCATACCTACAAGTCTTATCTAGGTCTTTAGTCCAAACTAGGTCGTTATCATAGAGGAATTTAGCTGAAAATGGAATCCTAATGCTTGGGCAAATAGGTTGAGTCGGTGTTAGTATTTCAATCATAACTTAAGCTATAGATATCCAATTGATGAAAACCTTAATGAGTTAGAAATCTAAGACATAGAGCTATACATTTTATGTGGAATGCAAACCCTAATTAGGCCTATAGTACATGCAAACTCGAGGCTTCAACATGTAAGTGTTTAAGTTTTTGAATGTTCACATTTGATTATTGTTAGTAAGTGTGTTTTATAAGCATATCTTATGTTTACTTGGTTGCATTATATACATATGTTTAGTATTTGGCTGAATTAAGTGAATATGTTTAAGAGCTGATTTGTGTATTATGTCATTTATATGGATACGTGGGAATAAGTATAGTATCCCAAAGAAAAACCATAATGGTATGGGCACAAGTAGGAGGGATGCTAATTGAGAGGAGAACAATGAGTTTGTAGATAATGGTGTTTCGTTTAAGCACATGCTTGGGCTATTGTGGCATTAATAAGAAATGATACAGTAGCATTAGTGAAAACATGATGAGCAAATATGAGCTTTAATGATTTTGTAGTAGCAACAAATGGTAGCAAGGCTACTGTAAAGAGCTAACATAATTGAATGATCTCAAAAGTTCAATCCAAAGGAATTTTTGGGCAAACCCGATTCTATGGCTTTTAGAGAGTTGTTGGAATCTTTGGAGATGATCTTTGACCACATGGTAAGGGAAGATGCGAGATAGGGTAGCTTGTGTTATTTTTATGTTGGTTGGTGATATATGGACATGGTGGGAATCAACAAAAATTTCCTTAGACGTGCCTAACCTCACACGGGCACAATTTAAGGAGGTTTTTAATTAGAAATAATTTTTAAATAATGTGAAATAAAAAAAGATACAAGAGCTTGTGAAATTAGAGCAAGGAGACATTTTGTGAGCGAATGTGTTATATGATTTGAGCGTGATTTTCGTTTTACAACTTTTATTTTGAATAATATCACTTAAAAGATGGGTCACTTTAAAAGGCTTAAAACTTGAAGTGTAAAGCCTAGCCGCTAATGTAGGTGCCTAAGATCCAACCTTGATTGGATGTTTTGAGATATTGTAACATTATATTATTTATTTTATTAATAATAAAAGAAGTTTTTCTATTAATTCTTATTTTTTATATTTATTTATTGAATAGAATTCGATAGAAGTTCATATGCATTTGCATTAATAATTGATCGAAAGATGTGGGACAAATATTAATACATTTAAATGATATTATTAAATGCCCCAAGTCATAGCATTATCAAGAATGGGCATTGACTATATGTGGTTAGACTTGTGAGTGCTATGCTCATACTATAAGATAACGAGTAGGAAATCTCACACCTATTAGTATAGTGATACCAAAATAAGCATTTATGTGATTTTTGTTAGAGAACATATCACTAGACTTGACTCGCCATGAGAATCCATTTGGTTTATTCTATGAGAATCTCATACGAGATGGGTACAACTAATTCTTTGACTTGAAGTTATCATAATTATCTCATTAGAAGATTTATGTACTTTGACACTCGTTTTGATGGACCTAGTAAAGGGTTGCATATGAGTCATTCACTGGGTACACTAGGAATCTAATAGAGATAGGTGAATGACTAAGATAGAAC